AACAAAATGTGGTATATCCAGTACAATGGGGTTATCTGGGCATAAAAAGGAGTGGAGTTCTGATATATACTACAACATGGGTGAGCCTTGAAAACATCATGCCGAGCGAAAGAAGCCAGGCACAAAAGGCCACATACTGTAGGACTCCATTTACAAGAACTTCCCAGAATAGGCAAATCCACAGAGACAGAAGGCAGATCAGGGTTGCCTAGAGCTGCGGGGAGAGGGGGACCGGAGAGTGGCTGATAATGTGTATGCAGTTTTAGGGTGTGAAATGTTCTAAAATTAGATTGTGGTGATGGTTGCGCAACTCTGTGAATCTCACGGTATGTGAAACAGCTCAATAAAGCGGTTAAAAGAACGGCAGCTCGAGGGAGGGTGGTATAGACGTAACTCAGGCCGTCCCCTCACACAGGGCTGCTGCTCCAGCCAGGTGCTCGCAAGTCGACCACCCTGGGTGCCAGAGCCTCCTGCTCCCCTCACCGGCCAGGCCCTGGGTTCCTGAGATCTGTCACATGTGCAGGGCAAGATGGGCCAGCAGGGAGAGAGTCTGGTAGCCCAGGGCTACTCCAAAGTGTCTAGGCTGGCCTTGGATGGTCCCCCGCCTCTCCCTTCAACACTCCACAGCCATCCTCCCCTGGAAGCCTAGGCATGGGGAAGAAAAGCGACATTACCAAGGCCAGTCAGGGCCCCAGAACCGCGGCCGCCCTGGGGCTGCTTCCACACCGCCCTTTGGGGCCGGAGCCGGCAGGGGGCGCTGAACAGAGCAGCACGGCAAGGCCACCACGGTGTAGACAGAAGGGCCTTGCGTGGGCAGCAAGAATCCTCCCGCCTCCCAAGTTCTGGTGGGAAAAACTCTTTCATCTATGAAAGGTGAAAATAACCTGCATTTGGGAGAACAGTGCAGGCCGCTGGCATGTGAAAAGACACAGTCAGTGCAATCATTTCACACAAAGTCCCACCCTAGCAAAATGCAGTGACCAACAAGGGCCCTGGACTCAGCTCCCTGGTCAGCCAGGTAAGAGTTTTAGAGGTTAGATGTCACCGTGGATCCTAGGAGCTATCCTGAGGAGAAAACAAGGCCTCTTGAGAAGTGGCGGACACCTGGGGGCCAAGTGGTCTCACAGTTAGGATGTCCCAAGGGAATGGAGACATTCACCAGGCTGGGCAGGAGCCTCCTCAAGGCTGTGCTGTCCCCCAGTCCCAGGGGCCCACCAGCCTGGGCCAACGCCTCAGCCTCACGGCCCCACATCCACCCTCTCCAGGGCGGGGTGAGGACACGCCTGCGGGACAGTTTCTGGGGAGGTTCCCGTCAAGGGCTGGGGCCACCTGAACTCTTCCAGACACAAGCATGGATGTGAGAAACGCTCTCACCATCAATGTTCCACATCTGCAGAACTTCACAGAATTCAGGGGAGAACTAGAAGGAGATATACAGTTATGCAAATTAAACCAAACATGGGTGCAGACATGCCCACTAAGAGAAATACAGCAACACTTAACCACCGGCCTCAAACAAAAGCTCGGGGCCAAGGGTCCACGTGGGACAAGCGCGGGGAGACTCAGCAAGTTGGAGCCCCGCCAGGCTGCATCTGGAACTCCAGACAGGCCTGTGCCTGCCGCAGCACTTGCCCCGCTCTGAAGACACGGGTTTGTTAAGCAAGCAGGGTGAACGCCGACCTGCCCCACTGGTTAGCAGAGCCATCAGCATGGCAGGAGCTTAGTAACTGCAGGCGGGGGTCCTGTCCAGATGTCTCCCTCCACATGGTGGCAGCCCCACTCCTGAGCCTCTCCCACACTTCCACCAGGGCAGACGCCTCCCGGGCCCCCAGGGCAGTGTCAGGACAGTTCCTGTGTGTGCCTGAAGGTCACCTGCCTGCTTTTAAACCCAGTCTAGACTCAGAAGGTGCTTGTTTCCCCTTTAAAACTCCACCTCCAGGTGCCCACCTCCACCACCACCAAGCTGATAGGATTATTGAGGAAACAAGGAATTTAAAACAAACCACTTCCTCATTTTCTAAGTTGGTGGCTTCTAGGACCCTGGACACAAATACCCAAAAAGCCAACCAAGAATTCGATTTGCAAGGCAGCAGAACTCCAGAAATGGCTGCTTTCTGGTTCGTCCAGATGATCATATTGGCCCTTCATTTGAAACTTCCCCGTTTTGACCAATGGAGGCAGGAAGAGGAGGGGGAGGAGGGAGAAATCCCAAGGACAGGGTCCACAGCACCGCCCCCTGAAGCCTCACCCTCTCCCACATACATCACTAGCCACCTCGTCACCTGGGCTGCCTGCAGGGGAGGGGAGTCAGCAGAAAGGCCATGGCTGATCTCTCTGATCCTCCCCCCTCCATGTCTAACGGGTGCCGGGGTCCAGAGGCGGATGGGCCGGATCTGGGAGGTGGGGCAGTGAGAGGCCTGGAAATCCAGGCAGTGTAGGGTCATGGTTAGAGCTGGGCCTCTGGAGTCTGACTCTCTTGGCTGTGACCCTGGACAAGTTACTTAATCTCTCCATGTCTCAGTTTCCCCATCTACAGAACGGGTATCTAGTCTATGATTACTGTGATGTCCAAACGAGCTAATCAAGGCATATAAAGTTCTCTCCGTGTCTATCGGGCACACAGTGAGCTTGACTGTTACGGCTGATCATCACCATCCTCAAGTAGCTGTCTTTTCCAGACGAGCCAGTGGCTTTGGGCAAGGATACATGTGGCCTCTGGGTGCTGCTCATAGACCTTGTGCGTGGGAAGCCCAGTGGGGCAGGCAGCTGGCCTCCAGGGCACTCCAGGCCTGTGCTGCCCTCCACAGTCCCAGCCTGCAATGGTCACCAAAGGTCTAACCACAGAAAGCACTTCCAGCAGCCACAGCTCTAGGGCAAGCCTTCTCATGGGCTGACAGTCCAGAGCCAGCATCCTGGGTACCACCACCAAGACCCTCACAGTCCTGGATTAGGATGGCTGCTTGGCCTCCAACACCAACAGTATCACAACCTCCTTGAGTCCCCAGTCTTCTACTTTGAGAGAACAGCTGGAATATTGTTCACTGCCCTGCTGCAAGGCCAAGACTCTTGCCCTAGAAGGTTCTGTCATCCAAAATCCATCCTCCTCCCTATGCCTCATCCTTCCTTCTCAGTCCAGGGCCCTGGGCACTGCTGGGGCTCCTGGACAGGCTATTCTCATTTGCAAATGAGTGGCACCTCCAGTTCCTCCAATTAGTCTCCCCAGGTCGCTAAGGCTGTGAGTTTCCCCAAGCAAGGCCTCGGGGCAAGGCGCGCAACGCCCCCTCCCAACTAGAGATCCCCCTTTCCCACCCAGGCACCCTTCCGCCAGCATTCCCTGCACTGCCCTCAGTGCACCCTGCCATCTCCTCTGTGGGTAAGCTCCTATTCATTCTTCAGAGTCCACCTCACACAGCCTAACCTCCTCGGACAGCAACTCACCCCACCTTCCCGCAACTCTTTGCACCAAACACCAGTGAAGCCTGCATCCCAACGTATCAGAGTCGCCAGTCCCGCAGCTCCACTCTCACCAGACAGCACCCTGTCCGTCCCCGCAGCCCATGAGACGCCTGCCTCTCAGCCCAAGATGAAGTGCTGCCCAAGGCTCCGAGGGTTGACTGGCACCTCTTCCCTGGGCAGGGGGACAGGAGAGCGCACGCGCGCTGGGCAGCAAGCAAAGGCTGGGCGGCATCTTCTTTCCAGCAAGGCCTCACCAGAGGTCTGCCACCCAACTGCTCACACCGCCGACTGACTCCTCCGCCCTCCTTCCTCCTCGCTCCAGACCAGTCTCTGCCAGTAAGTCATGCACGACTCCGGGGCCCTGGCTCAGGGTCTGCCCCAAGATGGCACAGACCAGGCCCAGGAGAGCCTGGCCACCCTCAAAGCATGCCAAGTGCCTCAGATGGGTGGAGACGGAATGTGGAAAAGCCACATCCTTCTGCAGCGCCCCCAGCTCCCTTCCACAGCGAGAGGCCACTGAGCCGCCACTGAGTGAGGCCTGAGGGAGCAGCTAAGACTTACAGAAGGGCAGGCAAGGCGGGTGAAATCAGGCAGTGGCCTGAAAAGGTGTGGGAGCTCTGTGCTGCGTCCCCATCCTGCTCCTCACTTCGTCCCAGGCCCACCAGATGAAGACCAATCCAGTCCCAGAAGGCCTTATCTGTGTTCCTCAAGCACATCCCTCACTGCCACCAACACTGTCCCACCACAACCGCGGCACCCGCTGGACATTCCTATTTGTTGGATGAACGAATAAACGAACCCCTGCTAAGCCCAGCCACTTGGTGGCTGAGGGTTCAAGGGCTCTCCAAGAGTTCCCTGGGGTCATTGAGTCAATCAACAAACTGCTTTCTACCACCAGCAGGTATTTGCATATAATTTCTAACAGTTCTATGACAGACACTCTAGCTACACCGAGGCAGGTGTACGCAGGTGCTAGGGAAAGAGCCCTAGACCAGAGTCCAAGGTCTGCGTCTGGATTTGAGTTCCGGATCTGGCTCTGAACAGGTGTGTGACCTGAGCCCATCCCTTCCCGTGGGTTTTCTCATCTCGGGTTGGAACCGGCAGTGTAGCCGCGAACTGTCCTCGGACCCGCGGGCAGGGGCTGGCTTAGCCCCCCGCCACTGCGCCCCGCACGCCGGCCCGGCCGAGGCCCGACAAGCAGCCCGCCAAACCCGAGGCTCGCGCGGGGGGAGACGACAAAGGGCCTCCCGCCTCCCCGGGCGCCGGCCGGGCGGAAGGCGGGAACCACCGAGTCGCGCGCGGGCTCCTAGGGGCGAAGCTCCGGCGGCGGGCGGGCCGCGGGGTGACCCCTCGCGGCCGCGCGTCCCCTCCGGCTCCCACCCCAGAGCGCGAGCGGCCCGGACCCGCCTGTGGGGGCTGGGCCGGCGGCGGGAACCCCCGAACTCGCAGCTCCGCGCGGACCCAGAGGGCGCAGGGCTCGACGCCGGGCCGGGACGCACGAGGCCGGGCCGGGACGCACGAGGCCGCCCCGGGACGCTACTCACCCACCCTCCAGCCGCGGGAGCCCGGAAGGGGCGGCGGGGGCGCGGCGGGCACGGAAGCGGAGGACACGGAGGCGGAGGCGGAGACGGGCCCGGGACGCAGAGGACGCAGCCGCCGGCGCTACTTCCTCTAGTTCGCGCCCGCACTGCCCGGCCAGCCCGCGGCCCGCCGCCCGCCCCGCCCCCGGCCAGCCCCGCTCCCCGCCCCGGGCCCGCCGCCCGCCGCCCGCCCCCGCCCCCGCCCCCGCCCCGCCTCAGCCCCGCCCACCGCCGCCCGCCCCGCCCCCGGACCCGCCGCCCGCCGCCCGCCTCAGCCCCGCCCACCGCCACCCGCCCCGCCCCCGGACCCACCGCCCGCCCCGCCCACCGCCGCCGGGCCCGCCCGCGTCCCGCAGCCCGCGCGGAGCCCGCCCCGCCCACCACCGGCGGGGACCCGGACTCGGAGAGAAGTCGGGAGGGGACCGGAAAGCGAGCGGGACCCGGTCCTACGCTGCTCCCAAAGCCGGGGCGCCTGGAGCCGGTGGATGAGCCCGTAATGGAGAAGACGTGAGGTTGGCTTTATTCCCGAGAGTCCACGATTTGCACGCTCAGATGGGGTGCTTGTCAAGGCCGTCATCCGGGAAGGTTGGCCGCTTTTCCAGCCATGCGGGGATAATTCCTACTGTTTCTCGCGTGGCAGTGCTTTCACAATCCTCCCGGGCTGTTTTTGGAATAGCCTCGGGGGTGCCAATTCTCCGTCCTAACGGAACCAGGAAGAATAGAGTCTGATGAAGCCACTCACCAGTCTCTGTGTCCAGATAGCCCCACAACGCGGCAGCGCGGCCCAGGCCAGGGGAGAAACACACGTGACGCCTAGGAAAGAGAAACAGAAACGAGAAAGCAAATTCCTGGAAAGGGCAAGGAACCTAATAGGATCAAGGAAGTTGCCACACCTGAACAGAGGACTGGAAAGTGAATTTTAAAAAAGAAGAAAAAGACTGGAAGGAAATATAACCAAAACCCATCACGTGGTTACATTAAAATAATAAAAATCAGTGATTTTCTACTTTCTACTTTTTTGCATTTTCCAAATTTTCTTAAATGGCTGTGGCAGTAATTTTACAGTGACTAAAAACTATCATAATAAACATCACGTAAGGGAATAGTTCATTAGATTAGGCAGTGTAAACTGTACTTCAAGTTGATTTCTTTGTCACAGTTCCAAGTCCAAGTGATTAAAGTATAAATAGCAAGTAATATTTTTAAATAGGGTTTTCTCTGAGGTTCCTGGCAGCTAAAGCAAAAGGGAGAGAGAGATTAATTTCATAATTCTACAAAAACAGGATGGAGTATACCAATTTCCACTTCAAGACAGTCCAACTTTATCTTGCACCTAAATTTAAATAACATCTGTGGTTTTTATGTGCAGCTTAAATTGGCTCTGAAAGAGGTGTCAAAGGGGACAATCTGGAAATTTTGAGCAAAAGCAGGTTCACTCCAATAAATATATTTCCTCCCACAGTGACTGGTGTGAAGGGGACAACAATCATTAAGATGTCTGAGATCAGAGAATAAATGACCCCATCAGTGGCCCCTGCTGAACGCTCTCCTCTGGGGGAGTTAGAACTGTGCTGGAGTTAGAACTGTGCTGCGCCCAGGACAGACACTCCTCATCTGGGCAGCAGAGGCCGGCCCACATAAGCTATAAGTCACTTCTGGCACCAGCACTCTGGTACCGTAAGAACATTTCTAGGACCATAGATGCGTTTCTAGTGCTATATGTGGACCAGTCAGGCCAAATCACGCTACCCAAGAAGCTGTTCCCAGGCTCTCATGGCATATTCTTGTCAGGAGGAGTTTAACTTCTAACCAATGCATTTAACTAGCGGTCCTTCCAACCTCAACACCACTCAGCTCTCCTCTTACTCTCGCCGCTCCTGATTGCTAAACTTTGAATGATGGATGACATCATCCTCTGCCTTCTTAAACAGGACTCTGAATATACTTTCATTTTTCCCGTGCCTCGGGGTCCTCATTACACACATGGCCTCCCGTGCTGTGAGGTGCAGCCATGGCTCCAGGCAGCACTACTGTGCGCCCCAATCTCCCTCCATGCACATCCGCTCACCACCCATGCATCCCCAAATATGGCAGTTACACTAAAGCTTCTAGGGACATTCTCCGACAAGTCTTTTTGTGGACATACGTTTTCGCTTCTCTTGAGTATAATACCTGGGAGTGGAACTGCTAGGTCCTAGGGTTGGGGAATATTTCACTTTATTAGAAAGTGCCAGTTTTCCAAAGCGGCTGTACCATTTTGCACCCCTACCAGCAGTGTACGAGCGTCCCCGTGGCTCCACATCCCCTCTGGGCTCACCTCCTGTACCAGCTCCCTGGTCCAAGCCCCATCTCCCTCTGCTTCTTGCAGTAGCCTCCTGACCGTTCCCCTCACTTCTACCTTGGCTCCAACATGCTTTCTCCTTTTATATAAGGTCAAATGATGTCACTCCACTTTTTAAAATCCTCTATGGTTTTGTTACCACACAAAATTGGGGCTCTCTTGGCCAATGCACATAAAGAGCCAATTATTATGTCACCAACTTTTGGGAAAAGAAAACAGCTTATTGTGAGATCAATCTGCAAGGAGGAGACAGGCATATGTTTTCAGATCTGTCTCCCTGGTCCAGGGCTTGGGCACAATTTACAGGGTGAAGGGCAGGGCGTCTGAGTGTGGAGATAGGTGATTGGAGGTGAGGAGAAGTGAGGTAATTGGTGATCTGCTCAAGCGCAGTTGAGCTTCATGCCTCCTCACAGACTGTCGACGAAAATAATCCATAACCAATCTATCAATGAAAATTTGGAATGAGTTTATTCTGAGCTAAAATGTGAGGACCATGGCCCAGGGCCTTTCTTCGCAAAGGAAGAAAGGGCACTGAAGAAGTGGGGTGCACAGAGTGGTTATATAGCCCCAAAGAGGATGTTTCACATATGATTGAAATGTCCCTTTTACAATAGTCACAAGAGTGCTCTGTTGGCACGGTGATTGATGGACACAGCAGGTAGGTCTGCTGTCTCGGTGAACACAGCAGGGTGGCAGGTCTGTTGTCTCGAGCTGGGTGGTCACAGATGAGCTGGGTGGTCACAGGTGAGCACAGCAATCAGCTCCTAGCCTAAGGAAAGATGCTTATCCCTAAGGAAATGCCAATGTGGGGGGAAGTTGCACCTTTATCTCAAGGGCCTTTGTTCTTGCCATAGGAAATGTCTAAAGCAGATATACAATGCATGCTCAATGGCCACAGTCAGGCCCTTTTGGAAAAACAAAGTCAGGCCGAATTAGGTTTACACCCAATGGCTTCCTCATATACTCCAGTATATCCTATTGCTTGCCATTTCTAGTGTCACTCTAATATATCCTACTGCTTGCCATTTCTATTGTCACTCCAACATATCCTATTGCTTGCTATTTCTATTTGTCAGGATGCATGTTCACAATGGTGGTGGTAGCATGCTCTGTGGGTGGAGCATTCAGCCCTTTGATGTCAAAAGCGTCACTTATCGGGCACTTGTGCAGGCCCAGTTGATGCATTGGTGGTCTCAACCGGCCTGAGGTAGACAAGCAGGGGAATCTCAGATCCTGAAAAACCACTCTTAATCACTCTGTGGCTCTGATGGGGTCACTTGACCTGGTGCTGGTAGGCCCGTGGTCACAGTCTCCCAAGCTCTCCTCACTAGCCTGCAAAGTCCTACATGATCTGCCCCATCTCCAAGTGCTGACAAATTCATGGCAAGCAATAGGATATACTGGCGCGTGTGAGGAAGCCATTGGGTGTAAACCTAATTCATCCTGACCCTGTTTTTCCAAAAGGGCCTGACATGGCCGTTGAGCATGCATCTGCTTTAAGCATTTGCTATGTCCCAAAGGCAAGAACCAATGGCCTTAAGATAAAGATGCAACTTCCCCCACATTGGCGTTTCCTTAAGGATAAGCATCTCCCCTGGGCTAGGAATTGAATGTGGTGCTCACCTGTGACCACCCAGCTTGAGACAACAGACCTGCCAGCCTGCTGTGTCCATCAAGACAGCAGACCCACTACCTGCTGAGTCCATTAATCACTGTGCCGACAGGGCAGTCTCGTGACCCTTGTAAAAGGGACATTTCAATCATATGTGACACATGCTCTTTGAGGGTATATAACCACTCTGTACACCCCATTTCTTTGGTGCCCTTCTTTCCTTGGGGAAGGAAGGCCCTGGGATAAGCTAGTCCTCAGATCTGGCTCAGAATAGACTCACCCAGTTTTCATTTATGGATTGGTTATGCGTTATTTTCATCAACAACTCAAAACCTCACTGTCCCCTTGTAATTCCACTTCAGCCTCAGTGGCCTCTGTGCTTTCCCTAGACCTGGCTTCATCTTTTTCCACAGCACGTACTACAACCTGAAATGTCATGTAATTACTTGTTTGGGTCGGACTGTCTCCCCTCACTGGACAGGGCCTTGTTTTATTCATGCTCTTGCCTTGGTACCTAAAACAGCGCCCGGTCCTCCTGGGTGCTCAACAGACGGAATGAATGCGAGGACAGGAAAAGCATCAGGTGGGGTTGGGAACTGTACAGAAGACTAAACAGGACCCCGGGAGGGTGAGCGACCAAGTGGGTGACTGGTGAGTCTGGCCATCTAGGGAGGTGATATCTAAATTGATGGCTGAAGGTCAAAAAGGGACCAGACATGATGAGAGGGGAAGAGCACTGTGGGCACAGGAAGCATCCACTGCAAGCACTCCTGGGCTGGAAGGCTCTTGAGGCACCTGGTGCGCAGAGGGTGAGGCAAGGAAGGCCGGCTGTGGCAGGGGCCTGGCAAGTAGCTGGGATCTCACCCCAACTCGGTCCAGCCGGTCCCCAGTCTTGTGTCTCCTCTTCAGCTTTCTGCACTTGGGTGGCTTCTCCCCCTCCACTCCGCTGGGGTTCTTGTCCTTTTCTTATTAGTTTGTAGGATTCCTCAGATGTTCTAGATGATAGCCTCCTTTTTGTTTTCAGACGTTGCAGATATCTTCTTTCATCTGTTCTTGGCCTGTTAACTTTGTCCATGGTATTCCGTATGAAACACAATTCTCAAATTCATCCATTTCTCCCCTTACAGTCTGTGCTTTTGAAGTATGGTTTAAGAAGGCCTTTCCGCTATAGGTCACAAAGATATTCCCCTATATTTTTTCTATTTTATAAATTTGT